GTGTGTGTGTGTGTGTGTGTGAGGACGCGTCTGGGGAAAGGTGAATCATGGGAGGCGGAGTTTATATCGGTGCATGGAGGAGCGCCGCCCCCCTTGCCCACATGCATGCACGCAAGTCAAATGGCTCACTGTTTGCTGGGCGAGAAAGTCAAGTGTTTCCGACAACATCACGGGTACTGCGAATCCACAGCGAGGAAACAAAACCGTGAGCGCGCGGAGCTTCGACTCACGCTACAACTTTGTTTCCCTCTGCAAGCTGTCATCAAACACACACACACTCACAACACACACACACACTCACAACACACACACACACACACACACACACACACACACACACACACACACACACACACACACAAGAGTTGTACGTACGCCGCTCTGTTTCGTTGTAGGCAGGAACAATGATGGAGAGGTCGATGGTGGGATCATCGTCGATGCTCGGCACCTTGGTGCCATCCAAGAAGGTTTCCTCGCCTTTCCTCCGCTTCTTCTCGGGCGCCCGCGCCGATATCCTGAGTGCCACGTACACCTGCATGTGTTGTGCAACGCCGATTGTTCAGTGTGATTGGTTGCTGAGTCGCTTTGCGCCAACACGGGCCACATCAGGCTCTGCCGCACAGGTGATCCTGAGGGATGCGCACCAACTCATCGCAACTGGCCCACCACCCGGCCGGCCCGCAGCTCCCACCACACCATGTCCCAGCACAAAGCAGACACAGGCACACAGAGGCGACGCACCAAGCCAACAACAACGGCAGCACCGCAGCCCAACAGCCACATCATATCCGACTACTACTTGTGCTGTCGTCCAGAAAATTGGAGGAGGCTTTGCTTGTTGTTTGTTGTGGTGCATTCTTCGTGCTGTTGCCTCGTGTTTTGGTGTGTGTCCTTCCACGTCCCTGCCTCCACGTCTCCACCTTCTTCTTCATTGAACAGCTTGCGATGAACTCCGTTGGCGTGACAAGTGTGGTACTGCTGCTGGCTGTTGGCCTGTGTCTTGCGGGTACACAGGTACGACCGCGTTGTGTTGTGTTTGTGTGTTGTGTTTGTTGTGTTGTGTACGTGTGTGTACGTGTGTGTACGTGTGTGTACGTGTGTTTACGTGTGTGTGTGTGTGTCACACGAACAGTCTGTTTTGCTCGCCCACATTCACACCCACACTCACACTCACACTCACACTCACACTCACACTCACACTCACACTCACACTCACACTCACACTCACACTCACGCGACACCAACAACGACGACCACAACAACGATGACGCGTGAACCATCCAAATAGGGCTTGGCCGGTGCGAAGCAGGTGCCAAAGACGCTGTTTGGTGGCTGGCTCTTCCTCGACAACGAGGATGCACCCTTCAACGGAACGCTCGCCGGGTTCCTGCCACCAAACACCAACTACATGTGCGTTTGCGAAAAAGCGGCGCCTCGTTGCTTACTGTGCTCCTGGTGGACCAAAGACCCACACCCAGTGTGTGTGTGTGTGTGTGTGTGTGCGTGTTGTGATGCTGACGTTGTTGCGAGGCGCGTTGGCGTTTATCGAAGAGTGGTGCTGACTTGACACTGACCATCATTCGTGACGTGACTCGTTTCGCAGCATCCTGTCGTTTGTGGACCCTCGCACCATGGTTCTCCCGGAAAACATGATTCAAACCATCAAGTCCTTCCCCAACCACCTTGTCATGGTCTCTCTCGGCGGTCAGACCATGGCCGGCAAGTGCGTCACATTTTTTTGTGTTAAATGTGTGTGTGTGTGTGCGTGTGTGCATGTGTGTGTGTGCGTGTGTGCATGTGTGTGTGTCAATGTGTGTGTGATAAGTTTGCGTTGACTGAAGACATGTTACCTCACCTTTTCGCTTCTCCACCTCTGCTCATGTCACGCCACGTTCTCCTCCCCCCCCCCCGCCGTCCTCATACAGCTGGGACTGGCTCGCATCTGAGGAGCAGGCCCGTGCCGCCGCTCGCACCGCCGCTTCCTGGGCTCAGTGCGTTCCTTCTGTGTACCCTCGTGTGGCTGTGCGGTTGTGTGTGTGCGTGTGTGCGTGTGCGTGTGTGCGTGTGTGTGTGTGTGTGTGTGTGTGTGTGTGTGTGTGTGTGTGTGTGTGT